TGAACTGGAATTAAGACCCGTTGCTTGAAAGAAATGGACAAATAATATTTCACTGTCAACCTGTTGTTCCGGAGCCATTAATTCGTGTTTAGTTCATTAATCTTTAGGGAATTTGTGTATAACTTAGTCATGAATGGACCAACATGCAATTTATGGCAGTAAACTTGATTTCCCATAGGCATGTTGCTAAGTCTTTGTGGCGCGTTTTGCGGTCTAGACGCCTAGACGTTAGACAAGACAAGAGGGTTCCTAAAATTTTCATACATTACTTTGGCACGTAACTGACATGTGGTGTCGGCTTTCTAGGGAATATCTAAGGCTTCAGCTAAACAGCCTGATGTCATTTTTAACAAAAGCGACGAATGTCACTGTCCATTGATTGCTTTATGTTGTGATGTAGTATTTGTTGATCAGGACCAGTCCTATCTAGGAAGTATGTGTTCAATTTTTCATAAAGACGATCTTAACTTATAGATTTTCTTCTTGATATTAGGTAAAGGTCCTCTTCTCACCATAGAAAAAAAATGAAATCTAATCTAAGTAAACGATAAGTGAAGTGCCTAAAGTTCGAATATTTATTTTGCTCTAAAAAAAGCGTTAGTAAACTAAACTATGTCCTAACAGAAAGGCTGCATTGATAGATTCAGTTGTAGAAATATTCGCAGTTGTTTTCATGTAGGTAATGCAAAACGTATTTTTAAGTCGGAAACCATTCGTGTGACGTAACGCAATTGCCATTAAACAATTTGCCATAAATAGCCAGCCGGCAATAAATATATCGTAATTATGTTTTTTACTGCCGCCACGCGAGTCGCAGGCTCGCAGGTATACAAGTTTTAATTGCATTCTCATGTTTGTTAGACGATTTCATTTATTATTTACTTAACACACTTTTTGGCACAAACAGACGCGAGGTACTGACATACTGGGTTCACTTTAAAATCGTTATTTGACAATATGCCAATCCGCCAGTACAAGTTTAGAGGCTTAGTTTAGGGTCCTACAATATGAAGAAATGATAAATGTAGGCATTAGCCATCTATTCGAAAAAGAAATATTTTTCGACTTGACATTTACTTCTAACTTTGAATGGAAAAAGTAATTCATTCTAGCGTTTCATTTCTTTTACATAACAGATCACAAGTGAAACTTTGTCTCTTGCCAGACTGGTTTTCGTACAAAATAGCGAAATTCAGAAATCTTTTATGCTCTAATGACATGGAAAACGCACAGAATGTTATGAAAGGCTGTCCTTTTGAAAATGAGACAAAATCAATGATCCGAATCTATTTGGAGGACACACAGTCACTTTTACATATTCCCCAGTATCCACCCCCTTCATTTGAGCGAATGGTGGACGAGAATCTCATTGGACATCAATGGCCCACATTACGAAGTCATGACGAGGGTACAGCGGTGTATTTTTCAATGGGCAAACACGCTTGATGCACACGATTTGGACAAATACAAGGACCATTGTGATTAAGGACCACATTGATCGGTGTACCGAGTACTTCGAGCAAATATAGACTCTCAATTCTAGGATGAGGTTTTAAAACTAAGAGCGTTATGAGATGCTCACTTACATTTCGGCACAAAGAAAGATGTGTCTTGTGAATTTGTACAAGTGTTTACGTATTAAAACAGGTTTTATTTAAACGTTCTTTGCATTTCAAGTAAAACTACTTGTTTGAGTACAAATTATGAATTCACCTGAGATGATGGCTTCATTATTTTCAAGGACGACAAAAAGTAGAGATAGTTACCTACTATGGCTATATTTTGTGAAGTATTTTAATACTTATTTTAAATTTACTCTACTTTTACAGTCACGGTTCTGGAGTAAATAGTCTCTTCGAGCTATTGTTTGTGTATTGTTTGTCACTTTGCAACGACAAATTGACAACCAATCAACTTGATTAACCCCCAACAAAAAGTTAATATTTATAGCTGATTGTCTGCGGTTCCCACTAAGCATAAACTTGACACTGAACTACGAAACGACAGTTTTAGTGATCACATAAAAGTCTTTATGAACATTTCAAATGAATGGTGTGGAGAGGTTTATTACAGACACTGGCGGCTGATTGTATACCGGGAATACGATAAAAGACTACGGTACGTTTATGAGCGGGGAAATAATTTGTTTCCTATGCCGTTTCGCATCCGGATTCGCGAATGGGATCGGAGTTTTATTCAATTTCATTCATTTCCATCAATTGCCTTCGTATCGACATACTGGAACCGATCATGGATAAAACGATGTTTGCTTTCAGACGAATAAATGGATTGATTGAGAATGCCAGTACTTGCAATTTTTTTATTGAGACGACATTTTTTTCTTCATTTTGATCCTCGCTTGAGGCGAAATATTATTTAGGGCAACAGTCTATCAGCTAAATAAGTAATACAATGGATACAACTGGCTAAAATTGGAGTTTCGTGATGTAATCCTTATTCAGTTATGTGCCAGGATGACTGAAAACGGCCATTAGTCTAATAAAAAAGGAACAATAGCATCCAGGACGTTCGTATATCATTTTATAACCTTCAAAGTTCAAACCCAGTGAGACAGGTCAAACAAACAATAGGTGAGTTTGTACTGTCGGTTATGTAAATCATACTTAATGTTAAAACAACGCTTATTTATGTTGCTTGTAGGAATCTGGTTTCTTTTATTATGTTTGTTAACGTTTTTAAGTAAAAAGGTAGGCGAATTTTTACTTTAGAACTAGGAACCTAGGAACCGTACATTTTGGACAGATTTTCCGACGATAAAGACTTTATAAGTCGTAAAGGAAAGAATAATTAGGTACAAACGTTATCCTTCCACATCACAAAACACAAGCAGGTAGACACTTCACGGAATACAATATTTTGCAAATCCAATAAAACTTTGAAGTGGTTTCCTCGCAAAATGTTGTTTGTTCGGAAAATAAAGATTTTGTCAAAGGTCGCGTGAAGAGCGACGTAGTTTTTTATATTGTTTATATTTTACGTGCTTACCTACTTATTTCGTTTGTATATGGCTGTTTGAGTACTTATTGTAGAGGTAATATACAATGTGCTGTCTTTTTTTATTTTCCGTACAAAATATTACTTATATCAGATTTAGAACTTAGGTTTCTTGTCTTTTTTCGGATGCAAAATTCGATTCCAAAGACCTTCATGGTTTCGTGGACCATGGTGGTTACAGCATAACATAAGGGGATAGAGGGTTTCGTTTAGCAGTGGATATCTTCCAGATGAGGATACTTTTTTAATTTTTTCATTGTATACTAGTCCCAGATGGCAAGCGTAGCTCATCAGAAATTCTAAACTAAATAAAAATATGGAACCAATTTAACAATTAAAAATACGCCGATAATACAGTTTACATTGGGAGACAAGGAAAATGACTTAGCGTATGGTCTTTGAACCGAACAATTATTGATGCACGTGTCGTCCAGTAGCATTCGCTCGGAATATATTGAGAATATACTATGGCCATTAGTTCCGCCGTCTAAGATGTGCGTGAATAATTTAGATCACCGTACTGACGCAGACGCCGAGGTTTCATTGACGATGTTTCGAAATTTTATTCTTTGCATTTGTAGTTATTTGATGGCTCTTTTTTGAGGGGAGTTATTTGATGGCTAGAGTCGATGAGAAGAAGCATATAGTGGCTATAGTCACAGTAAAATGACATAAAACCTTTCTGTAGTTTCAGTCTCTTTTTGGTACGAGTCATAATCATAAAGAGGCATTAATACGTTATGATTAAGTGGTTCTGATTTTGTAGTATGATGGAAAAGAAGTACCTAAGCCCGAAAAAGAGAGTTCAAGAGACGAATTTCTGAATTGTCGGATATGATGGCATCGGATAGTGGAGATTGGGAAAAGAAGACATAATAATTGTGCCGACCCCAAGTATTTGGGTCTATTAAATGACCAGGTATTCGTTTTTGGTGAAGAATTTATACCACACAGGTTAGAAGTTTCAACACTTCATATTCCTATCAGTTGCAGAATGACCACTAGATTAGACCAAAGAGTTCACATCCTGTATTTACAGCGGTGCGGTTATTTCAGGAAGTATGGCGGCTATATTTGGCGGTGAAATTGGTATGGTCGGTGGACGGTACCCGGCCGATTCCTGCAAATTTTACTGTGTCACTTGTTACTAGGTATTACGACGACTCAAAAAGTCGAAGCCAAATCAATTATAGCTTAGATTTATTAGCTTGAAAAGGAAATAGTACCTATCTAGTTATTTATTTATGTAACTATTTTATAATAATAGAAAAAGTTTAGGTATATCTAATTGTTATCTTATACTCTTATACTAGCGGAAGAGTTTGTTTTTTGTTTGTTTGTTTGAACGCGCTAATCTCCGTAACTACAAGTCTGATTTGAATAATTCTTATTGTGTTGGATAGCGCATTTATCGAGGATGGCTATAGCCTATAAAACATCACTCTACGACCAATAGGAGCTGAGCAGAGCGTGTGAAACCGCGCGGAAGTAGCTAGTCTTATAATAAGGCAAGTTAAGACAAGGTATTTCGAAATGCTAATAATATAACTTATTCTAATAAGAATAACTATTATAGGTATGAATTTACGTTTTCTGTTAACGTAAATAAATAATACTTCTGCAGTAATAGGTACATAATTATTATTCATATTAAATTGGCCAATTTTCTTAAAACTATTAACTGGAAAATACTTTTAATCATAAAATTGTCTGACTGCATAATTAAAATTTATGGACTGAATGAAGTACCTAGTCCTTTTGAAATTAAATTAATTATACTTCGTACAGGGAAAAGGTAAAGAGAATTTACAGAAGCTAGGTATAAATGTAAACCTATAATAGGGATCTAGTAATTATTTAAGTATTATTTAATTTTATTTACAACCTACCACTTACGTAACTAATAAGAATGTAATTCACTTGTTTTTCCTCTTATAGATAATTTCGTGTATTTTTTTGTGTATCAACAAACTGCATAGACTCACCAAAACTTCATGGTGTGTCCGATTGCCCCTGTGCACCCACTGCACGTTTGGCAGTGGTACTGCGTCTAGACTGCCACAGGGCACCGTCACGTTTGTACCCTTATCTGCAGCTACATCCCTGATCTCCACCTCCTCAGATAAAGCCAAGGGAAATGCTAAAAAAATATGCAAATTTTTTTCTTCAAAAAATTATTTATTTTCTAAAAAAAATTATTTATACGTTTTTTTTTCAATGAAACTAATAGTGTAATTTTTCTATAAGCCGGTTTTTATGAAAATCCAATTTATTTACCTTCTATTCCAAGGCAGAACACAGACAACAATATACGCTCGAAAAACATTCTAATAAAACTACATTTAGACACTTAGAAAAAAAATTCTGAGCTATACTCTGTGTAAAGTAATAAAAGATTTATTTCCTATCTATTTATTTTGATCACACAGAATTAATTAAACGACGGAAGGCGAAATAATAGGAAACAAATCTCACAACAAACGTCTTCACTCCATTGATAAAAGTCATAGACTAATATAATTTTATCGTAAATTATGTTGCTATATTTTATCATTTTTCGCGATACAGTATTGCTATAGAACAAAATTAAATGTCATCTTAGACATAAAGGTCAGTATACAAGTAAAACATTAATAAACTAAGTTTTAGTTTATTTCAAATTTGAATTTTTAACTTAATTTTTAGGTTCTATTCTTAAATGATCATGAATTTTATTAAAATAGCGCCAATACTTGTGAAATCGCTTGGAATTGTCATCACGTTAGCACAATTTTCAAAAATGTGTGCTACGCCTAATAATCATAGACTAATAAACGATATTCTTCATAAAAAAATAAATGTCCATTTTCTTTCAGCTATTAAAGTTATGATATATAATATTTTTGTTAGTGAAAAGAAGAATTTAGTTCTCTATATTTTGTTTTATTTTGTCTTCCATCCATTCGTAAATTTTGTCCGAAATGACATTTCAGTTTTTTGACAACTGTCAAATGTCCAGTTGCTTTTGGGTACAATGCATGGTCATAGACTAAAATATAGATTTTCTTCGGATATGGCCGCTGTATCGGCAATACGACATCTGCAATGTTTTGTAAATTCATTTTTATAAAATGAATAAGGTGTTTTTTACTTATGTATAGTGATTAGCGGACCGTGTACAGTGCTGTGATATTTGTAATGGATGCAGAGAACGAGTACGAAATAAAGAAAGTTCGTGATGCCATACAAACGATAGAGACTATCCAGTCCATGATCGACGTTTCAGCTGAAAGACTTGAGGGTTTGCGGACACAATGCTCGACGAGCGCAGAGCTGACGCAGCAGGAGATCCGGACCCTGGAGGTAGGTAGCTAACCTTCACAGCTCATTGTAGGTACAGGGGAAATAAGCAATGCCCTTGAAAGTATTATACCGAGAGGCCGGGCCTCAAGGACTTAGCTGCACTCAAGGACTGGGGTGAATAGTTCATTGCCGTTGTGGAAATCGTTGCCGTACGCGCGCGCCGCTCCCTCTCACCTTGAATGTTTACCTTTTTTAATTTCACGCGATAAAAAGTTGTAGCATACATTTTATTGGTATTTGTGTTCTGTGTGCGAAAATGAGGTTGTGAAATCTATTTTATCATGATATTAGAATATAGCATTCCTGAATGTACAGAGTATTGCTGTGTTGAAGTAAATACAAGGGTTGAAAGGTATACTCTGAACATTTTATGAGATAATCCATAAATTATATGGTGTAGTTAAGTTGTTATCAATGTGTTTAGTCAATATACAAGAATTTACAAGTGAATATTGATCCACTAGTTTCCAATGAGACAAATTAGACTACATCTGAAGAACATGAATTTCTTTATTATTTTCAGTACACATATTACAAAAAACATTTAAGTATTCTGTGTCACAAAGACTATTTAAAAGCTCAAGTTTAGTAATATCAAAATAAATTTTATTAATATTCAGAAACTCAAAAACATTAATATTTTCATAGGTATTTCTAATCTTGTATTGGTTGCTTGAGTCATCTTTGTTTTTCACTGTATTCATATAATATCAAAACACTTTATATTTCCTTAATGTCTTGAACACAAACTAGTAGCATGATGTACTAGGTAGTAACCTAGTTTGATGACCCCAACATTAAGGTACAACACTATGAATCCCTATTTACTTTTCCCTAATTCCCTCTATCACAGAAATTTGACCAAAATAGTCAATTTGAAATTACCTAACATCTAATTGGATACTGGTAAGAATAAAATTGTAAATATATTATAACTGCTAATACTTTGGAGGAAATTTGTATTGTACCTACTATATTTGTTTATTACTTTGTATCTCATTATAAGTGGACTGTATGTTCTTATGAGTAATAAATTTCTTTAAACCGAACCGAAATACACATAATATTTAATTAACACAATTAAGCTAATTAATTCTTAAACTGCATTTGAAACATAGAATTATAAAATTCAGCTAATTAAATTGAGATATGATCATAAATATGACACATAATAAAGCCATACTTAAATACAATATGTCCCAATGAGCTGTCCTAATGTGTCACCCTGCCATAACATTTATCAACAATGGCTGACTGTTTGATGAAGTGATTCAATGCTAATGCAGATGTGCTTCATCACACTTCACTTATTGGAGTTGTAATAAATGATATATTGTCCTACTATTGCTTTTTTAATGATACCTTAAAAAGTGCCTAATGTAATGTTCTAAGATTCTTGATTTGGTGTATGCTATAATTTTCATGAGTCCGAATCAGTCACTGTAACCTGTCTCACAATGTTAAGTACTGATTCGGAGTCGATAACCATGACCACTCTGTCAATACTGATATGATTGGAAAGAAGAACATAATTATGATCCATAATAAAGAAATGACATTAGGACTTATTGAAAAAGGTCTATGTCCAGAAGTGGATGTCACTTGGCTAAAAATAAATAAAATGACCAAAGTTAGACAGACTCAAGTACACCATCTCCAAGTCATCCTGTAGTTAAATGAAAACATATATTATAAGTTTACATAACATCACGCCTTTTATCCCCGAAGGGGTAGGAGGTGCACACAGAAGTAACACCCACTTTTCACTATTTATGCTATGAGTCCCATGTAATAGGGGGTGAGCCTATTGCCATATACCGGGCACAATTCCAGACTCCATGCTGCAACTGACATTTTTTTGAAACCCAGTAACACTGCCCGACCCGCGTATCGAACCCGAGACCTCTTGCCTGGCAGTCGCACTTGCGACCACTCGGCCAACGAGGCAGTCTTATAAGTTTAACATTTCCAATTCTCTATAAAAAAATATGCAATATAAGAAATCTACAATCCTGTTGGTAGTTTTGATTTCTAAGTGTATCATAATAATTAATGTATCAAAGAGATTGTAATATATATTTTTTAAAAAGAGTAACGCATTAAGTTTTTTGCTCATTCTTCTCCATTTGAATCTACATTTTAGAACTAGCCCCTCATACTGACAGACTATTATATTTATTTATTTTGTATTTGTTGACATTCCAAAGTACCAAAAAATGCTTTGACTTTGAACTAATTGTAACTAGTTTCTGATAAATAAATAAAAAAAAAATACTTGTGTGTGTGGTAAAGGAAATGAAACAAAACTAAGTACAAAGATGCAAAAATATTTCATGGAAAAGAATGATGATTATTACTACTGGAGTATATCTAGTTAATTAATCATTTCTCAATATTATGAAACACATTATCAGACAGAACAGGTGTAATCAACTCTGTCTTAAGTAGTGGAGTGGAACACAATACCTAATCAACATCTTCCTTCCGGCACCCAAACCATGCAGTAACTTAGTTAAGGTCACGAAAACTAGGTACTGACTTCCTTAATAGATTTAATTACAATCTATCTATATTAATTAGGTACTATTGTGATTAATTGCACTGGTTTTAAATTCATTTTAAGATTTTATAAGAAAGATGACAGTACTTTTTGCTTGACGATCAGGAATGACAAGTAAATAGCCTCGACAATGACGTCTCGACGCCACGGACCCTCAGTTGCTACAAAAATACGTAAATCGCCAGTTTCATGTTGGTCCTTGGCTTGATAATAGTAAAAATTGACAGATTGTATCAATAAGTCTAATGGAAAGTACTATCAATAGAGACGGAATAAATCAATCCCTAAGCACCTCATAGGCTCCCCTAATTTCTTGAACTGTTGGGTATGTTCGTATTGCTTCCCTCCTGTTACCTGGCAGTTGGCATACTAGGTATCTGCCTAGTGTATGTAAGAGATAATATGGCTCTGACCATCATACTCAATGTCCAGTTCTCGAGTTAAGGGCAGGTTGAAATTTTCTAGAAAGGATTTTTTCTCAAAAAAGAGTTTGCAGTCACATTGTTGTGAAATTAAAGTCAGAAAGATGTTGTGCAAGTGTGTTCCAAATACAACAGACCTTTTTCATTTTACCTCACCAAAGTTTTCCTCTTCTGTCCAGTAGCTCACAGGAATGCTAATTATAAATAACTTACTAATATTACTATGCATTTACTTATTCCTTATTATGTGTAATATAATTTATATTATTGAAATAAAAGAGAATACACATAAAAAGAGAATCCATAATCTTTATCCTTAAACAAAGTAGCATCCATACAATTCCTGATAAACCAAATTTATTACCAAATGGATTTCCATGTGGTTTTTACCAAGGGATAGGTATTTATGAGGAAGGATAAATGTAGACAGATTTTATTAAGATTTCGTGTTTGTGTATTTATATTGTCCAGGCCGGCTGTAATGAGCAATAAATTAATACAATCAGGAAAATTTCAAATTAAACAAAACAAGTGTTTGTCTGCTCATATTGTTGACAATGTTTACAAATAATCTCATTGTTGGTAATTTGTTGTTTTTAAACAATTAGTATTTTATTAAACAGTTGTGTGGTAGTGATCTGATTTTATTGGTATGCAGTATTTTGATTTGTCAACAATGAGAATTATCGTGTTGATAAGGAATTGCACTTGTTTATTTGCACTCAAATTGTAATCGATCCATTCAAACCTGCACTCATAAAAACTATAACTAGGTATTTGTTCAGTAAATCGTCTTTTAAGAGTGAAAATTATACACGACGAATTTTTAGTATTACAAATAGCGTTTTTCCAGGATAGTTTGAGCTTCCTCATCTTCATCACCATATCAGCCACAAGATACCCACTGCTGAACACACGCCTCCCTCAATTACCTGGTTAAATTCCTTCATTGAGTTTTTGGACAACCTTTATAAAGTTTAGTTAAGAGTGCAAAAATTAAGGCTAAGGGAAAAATGTAAATAAAGATAGCTTGGCAAAACTAATCGTAGAGTTTGGCAAAACTAATCGTAGTCAGAATCAATACCCATCGTAATTCTTTAACGAATAATTCGAGACTGTTTCGTAATCGGCTAGGTAATTTCAATATCTTGCCCTCCACAACTGAATATGACGATGCTATGACATTCTTTGGTTAAACTCTCCACAGACATCAGATAACGATTGTACGGAATCATGCCTACATACTTATGAGCGAAACCTGCGGATGACGTAGATATTTGCAACAGACAAGTGATTAACTGATTACACATTTGAAAAAAAAAAACAATTGATTTAAAAATGTAAGACTTAGACCATGTTAAAAAAGACCATAATTATTGGAAATAAGTGTGATTGAGTGGTTTGCATTTCAAGTTACTTGAATTATGTTTGGTAGTTAGTTTAGCTACAGTTAACCAACGTTTCGTCGTAAACTGACTTTACAACGATTTTTAGAGATTTATACAATCCTTTATTAGTTTTATGTTTCATTTTACTGATCTTTAGATTCAGAACAACAATTGTAGGGAGAATCGAAACGGTGACACATAGCGCAGCCCTTTATCTAGCGAGCCACTGCGTCAACAGTGCAGTCAAATTACAACAAAGGCTGCTGAACTAGACTTACTCGCCTAGTTCCCCCGAATAAATAGCGTAGTGATAAAAATAATTGTTTCTGTTGTCCATTTATAAAATTATAACATTTCAAGTGTGTGCCAGTAATTTATGTAGTTATATGAAAGTTATTGCGCCACGGTCCACTGATTATATTACGCGCCGCGTGTTTACTACTCGCAGATTACTTACAATTTCTCTCTATAAAATGTTACTAGTTTTCTTTTTTTCGCTGAAAGTAAATCATTATGATTGTATGTTATGTCAATCTTAGTTGGTCATGCTGTATTCAAAATCATTTTTTGATATTTGCTTTGCACGTAAGTTAGACTATGACACCTAGGCCGTCCTTACACAATGCCATCTCTGTAAAGCCCGCCTAAACTACAAACATACGGGATAAGTAAGTAAGGCAAGACACTAAATAGTCCTTGTCTTCTCTTCCAGGGCAAGCTGGTGAAACACTTCTCCCGACAGCTGGTGATCAAGGCCAGCTTCGGTGAGGAGTTGCGGCGTAAGCTCGGCGATGTGCCGCGACTTGCGCAATGGCTCAGGGTCGTGGGCTTGTGCCCCGATTCTATTACGGTACGTATTCATAGTTTTTTTATTTATCATAATTAATTCTGAAAGAAATGTACAATTCCAATATAGTAAGATATTAAGTAAGCAAATATGTTCTTCCTTTGTGAGAGACTAGGGTCCACGCTGGGGTCTAAGTTTTTGTCGCTCCTCTCACGTAAAATGAGATGGACTGCGTTGAAGCTATATGCAAGAAGTCTTTGAACTATATATTCAAGGAAAACATCTTCAAATTCGCAAGTCATGATGATTAGAAGAGGAAGTTGATATTTTGTTAACTGTTTTATAACTAACAAATTACGTACAGTTGAGGAAACAACACAATAACAGTTATATTTTGACTCACTTGTTACGTTGCGTCAACACCAATAGTACCTAGTGTACTATCGTGAAATATTTAATTTGACGTGATAAGATAAACGAACGGATGCGACTTCTGCAGAAGAAAGTAAGATATTTGTAAAGGAAGTGACGTGCGATTATAAAAAAGTATTAGTCACATCCGTTCTGTGTCGTTTACCTGGCATATGGTTCCATTCACAGCCTATACATATTTTTGAACGGGAGAAATGAAAAATAACTTAACACTTTTAAATAATGTTACCTATCTTGTTACACCTTGGGTGTTACGGATGTCGAGGAGTATTGAACTGAAAAATGACGTGTTCGTAAATACGAATTCCCGTGTGATTTGAAATGCAGCAATGGTTCATGCGACTTATGAGTACCTAAGCTGAAAGGCTAAGAAGCTTAGCATCCAATTCGACTAATTGGATGCTAAGCAATCGACATCACCCATGGACACTCGCATTGAATATTTGGGGAAATAAGCAATAATTACTTTGTTATGAATAGTGACGTTAATGTTGCAGGCGGTATGTTCCCGCGTGGCGTCGTTGGAGACGCTGCGGGAACGTTCCGACCACGAGATGCGCGCGCTGCTGGCCGGCGCGCGCGACGAGGAGGTGTTGCGACTCTGTCGCGCCATGCAGCGGCTCAGGACTTATATAGGTAGGTTTAAACTTTGTTATATGAACATTGTATAATGCACTTTTAGCATTTAGGACACCCTTTAAAGTGGATTAGGTACTGCAAATACAATTGTATGGAAATGTAAATCGACACAAAAAACTTAGATTTAGACAATATTTTCACGCTGAAATGACACCAAGATCTCAAAAAATTGACAGTCCAATGAAAAGATTACGGTTCTTTCCTATGGGAGTGTTAGTGTGCACTATTGGAATTAAATGGTTGTCTAATAAGACGACCATAAACTTCCTTCTTTTTTAACTCTGTATATCGTCATTTCTAGTAGCTAGAAGTGTCATAAGTAGTACTTAAATGTTAATAGTTTGTGTTTGGTCGCACAGAGGCCCTCGGGCGCGGCGAGGGCGGCGCGGAGCTGCAGTTGTTCTGGGACTCGTGGGAGCGCACCGCGCGCGCCTCGCCGCGGGCGCCGCGCGCGCGACACGCCGCCGCGGACCACCACGGCACGCCGCACAACAAGAAAGGTACGACATGTCACAATCATCATTTTATCAGCCGCAAAATAGGCTTCCCCTAGTGACTCCCAGAATGGTTGGTTCGAAGCTACCTGAATCCAAGTTCTTCCTTTAGGTAGAACTCAAAAAGAGCAACCCTAACTTAACTGATGTTCTTTCCAGGTGGCAAATCTCCCCCCACTCCGGTAGCGAAGCGAAAACAACCGAGCACTCTGCCCCCTCCCGCGGCACTCACCAAGTCAAGGTCACACGAGTCACAACTATCTGTCAGACCAGACGCTTCAGACCTTAGGTAAGTACTGCTACTATCTTGGAACTTCTTACTTGTGTAAAACATAGTCTAATGCCTTCAGCTCTACAGGTAATGAACCGTTTTATACAGATATTGCGAGAATAATGACTACAAACTAAATAAGAACAAAATTGTCATTTAGCATAAACGACTGCTTCAGTAGTGTAATGAACTACCTACAACAGCTAAATAGCTGTTCCAATATGTTTATCTTTTGAAGATTTTTTTAATGTGCAGTAAAGTTTAAGATTGGTTAAGGAAGTGTTCGCGCAAGTACTTACAATAAGTTATGTTTACAGTGACAACAGTCAGTCCTCAGCGGTGGGTACGTCGGAAGTGACGCCCCCCGCCTCCCCGCACGACACCGAGTCCGAGCACACGCCGCTCCACCGCCCTCTACCGTACCACAACAACAACGTAAGCAAATATCAAAATACTATATCACATACCATGTTCCTTGCTACACTGCAAGCTTCAGCTTCGCTCACTACGCCGCCATATTAACCTTCGACCTAAACACTCATAAACCCGCTTCTTACTAGGCGTAGTTTGAACACATGCCTTTTGAGATACAGGTTGGAATTCGAGTACGAGTCTTTTAAGATAAAATTGTTTAATCTGTGGTGAGGCTTTGTAGAATGTTTTGATTTGGTTAGGTATAATAAGACTTTATTTAGCTAGCATATGAGGCGTTGAGTTTAAAGTTTGTATTTCTAGTGGAGTTTAGCAGTAGGTTAGAGTTAGTATCGGCGCCATGGTTGTGGGTTTGGAGTGGTGCAGGTAAGCCTTGTACAGGTGCGGTCGCCCGCGAAGGGCGCGCTGGGGCGGCGCCTGGCCACCATCATGGCGTGCGCCTGCGCCCCCGAGCGGCCGCGCGCGCCCCCCGCGCCCCCCGCGCCCCCGTCCGCGCCGCGCACCCCGCACCACGACCCGGTGTGTATGCCCCCCCCGCTGTGTATGCCCCCCCCGGTGTGTATGCCCCCCCCCCTGTACAGGCGCACCCTGTCCGTAGTGTAAAGCTGACACAATGTTGTGAGTATCTCTGCATGGTAGACCACGTCGCGCTGACCTACGTGACTCTTCAGTTTCTGTAAGATTCCACAGTTGTATGCATGTCTTTTAGCTATGGTGTCAATAGACAATTTTTATTACAAGGTGGTTGAATATCTCGATGTATAAAGTTCTCTTCTAGGTGTTCGTAATACTTAATATACTTTTCAATGGTATTGATTTAAATCTCTATATTTGTGGCATGCATTTCGTATCTATCTTGAATGTAGGTAAGTATCGATGTTTTTATTTGTTATATTGTCTCTATCTCTATTTTAAGTTGTCAGTAGTGAGTGGCATTGCGTTTTCTGCTTAGTTCTAATGCTAAGTTGCAACATTATCGCAATTCGTGCGTACATTTTTACTAGACTTTTTCCATCTGGGTATAAAATAGTATAATACAACATGAAGCGATTAATAACCCTACATTTTCAGATATTAAGTAGTTTTATATGTTGATAAAACATTAAACTACTTTGAATAATTATTATCTTATTAGTTTCTACCTCCTGGCGAGTTCATACTCGGACGGACGGATTTCCTTGCCTTTAATATGTTTTTCTGTCTGTCAAATACTAACAAATAACGTCAAGTTAGGACATTTCTTGAAATTGGCTCATTGAAAGATTTTAAATCTTCTTAAATTTATGTAAAAAATCATCACCACTTTATAAATGCCCACTGCTAATCAAAGCCTCTTCTCACACGGAGAAGGTTTGAGCATTAATCACCACGCTTGCTCAATGCGGGTTGGCGATTACAAACTTTAATTAGAAATTATAACTCCAGGTTTCCTCGCGATGTTTTCCTTCACCGATCCGAGTTTCATCACTGATGTCTAAATAATCTTAGAAAGTACCTATAACTCGGAAAAAGTCACATTGGTACTTACCGTTGATAAGTTTAGAACCCGCAGTCTCATGCATGAGAAGCGGGCGTTTTACACCTCCGGGCCACCACGACATGGCACGGAAGTAAAAAATACCGTTAATGAAGTTAATACTAAAGCGTGTCGTGCATACAGACGGGCGCGGGCGTGGCGCCACGCTCCCCGCGCACGCCGACCGTGAGCCGCTGCATGGCGCACGACATCGCGCACCGGTTCACCAAGACCATGCTCATTGCCACCTGCGACTACTGCGACAAACAGATGTTCGGCTCCGCGCTCAAGTGCAAGGAGTGCAAGTTCAAGTGTCACAGGTTCGTTCTACTTTTCTAACGGTAATATTGCTTGTATTGTTCTGAATAGATTAGTATGGACTGCCCCGTCGGACGAGTGGTCGCAAGTGCGGCAAGGGGTCTCGGGTTCGATTCCCGAGTCGGGCTAAGTATTACTGGGTTTTTTAAAATGTCAGTAGTAGCAAGCAGAAATGTCCCCGGTATATGGCAATAGGCTCACCCTCTATTACATGAGACTCATAACATAATTAGTGAAAAGTGGGTGTTACATTGTACAATGGCATTGATTGCCGTAATGTGCACTTCTGTCTACCCCTTCGGGGATAAAAAGCCGTGATGTTATAAAAAATAAAAAAGATAAGTATGGAGTGGGGTGTAAGTTTTAAAAAATGATACATGTCAAGAATAGGAATTCAGATACCAATAAACATCAATTCTTGTTTATCCACTAGTTGGTTAAGGGCTGATTTTTGCAACGCCAGATAAATATTAACTGAGGAATAACTTTCTAAACAGTTCTTCCATACTAAAAACTGTCAAATGTCAATTTTATTCTATAGTTAAGAATTAAGAAAATTAACTGATGATTGAAAATCCAGCCCTAAGAAATCGAAGGAATCTGACACTGTGCTTCAACAATATTTTGGTTGATTGTAGTCATAGTATCAGTATTGTCCTATTGACTTCATTACCTTGTAATTTTCAGAATGATAATAATGCCCAGGGTCTAAACAACAGCGTTTAATTTACAGAGACTGCGAAAGTAAAGTACCTCCGTCATGCGGCCTACCACCTGAATTTGTGGACGTTTTCAAAGAAAAGTTTCACAAAGATGGTGAGTGAATATATATTTAAGTTGTTCTTAAATATCGCGTTATCTTGATGATTTTATAAGCATTTGAAATGCCAGAAGTATTTTGCGAGCACTACATAATATGAAATAGCGTTCGTATATATATTAAAACTTTCGTTAGACGTTCTAAGTGAATTATAATGTCTTTCGGCTTACTCACGTAATTATTTGACGAGACACTCGACTAGTTTCAGGCCGTGTTAGGGGCTCATATTTATTTATTCGCGGAATGCTGCTCATGAATGTGACCCGCTCCTGTAGTATTAAGATATGTGAGTAAGCTGAAAAACATAATAATTAATTATAATACTAATTTAGTATTTGTATAATTGTACAATTTATAATTATCGGCCTTGTTGGCCGAGTGGTCGCAAGTGCGACTGCCGAGCATGGGGTCTCTGGTTCGATTCCCAGGTCAGGCAAAGTATTACTGGATTTTTCAAAAAAATTTAGTAGTGGCACGGAGTCTGGAAATGTTTCCGGTGTATGGCAATAGGCTCACCTTCTATTACATGTGAGTCATAACATAGAGAATAGTGAAAAGTGGTCATTGTATAACAGTATCAGGTGCCGACATGTGATGTAATGTTATGACATAGTTGATCCGTAAGTGTCCGTGTGCAGGTGGGTACTACGGGTACGTGTCAGGTCGCGGCGCGGGCATCCTGTCCTCGCTCACGCACCGCCGCCGGGCGCCGCCCACTTCGCATCACGCTGTAACTACTGCTGCATTACTACTCATACTATTTTTTTAGGTTTAGCACCAGTAGACGTATCACCTGATGGTAAGCAATCGGCGCTGCCCATAGACACCTGGAACACCAGAGGCGTTACAAGTGTGTTACCGGCCTTAAGGGGATTAGGAATTTGAGAAGAGGGGGGGTTTATTGGGCCTCCGGTAACCTCACTCACACGACGAAACAACGCAAGCGTTGCTTCACGTCGGTTTTCTACTCGGCCGTGGTATCACTCCGGTCGAGCCGGCCCGTTCGTGCCGAAGTATGGCTGTCATACATTTGGGTATTAACTGTACATTATGAAATGTTTTAATAAAAAAATATAATGGTTTCCTGTAAATTCATAACTTTGTTACTATTAAATTAGCAGAATCTCAAAAATCAATGAACTACTTAGAACCTTATTTCAGCCGTTAGACATTTTTTTAATAAACTATTTGTATGTCACAGGGTGGCCCAGACTCGTCGTCGAACACGTCGTCGTGCAACAGTTCGACCCCGTCGTCCCCGGCGCTGGCCCCGCCCCTGACCCCCCACCACCCCCACCATACACAAATCCACCACCCCCATCACCCCCACCATCCGCATCATCCGCCCACCACTAAACAACAATTCCATTTCCCAGGTCAGTAAAAAAAAATACACAACAACTGTATTGGATAAAGACTTACTTGTTAATATTAACATCTGGGGAATTTTTGTCGAAATACACAAAATATTATGAATTAATAATTTTACCCAAAATGTTTAACTAAGAATGTCTTAAAATATAAAATATGAGCCCCTGGTGTGGCTTGAAACTAATCGAGGGTTACCTTGTCGAAAAGTTAATACAACATCCTTTCAATATGTTTCATGGATATTGTTATAGGTGATATTATTTCGGTATTATAACATTATTTTTTATTTTGTATCGGCAGAACTAAAGCCAGTGGTATCTAGTCCTAACCACGTGTCGGTGCAGTCGCCATCTAGACAACAAGACAACAAGGAAGACCTTACTACTAGCGTGCAAAGTGGTAAGATCTTTCATACGAGATTCTACATTATAATGTTGTATCTAGAGTTCAAATTGAATTTTATTGACCTTTCTTTGTCGTACGCGTTATAATAAAAAGTATTTTCAAGCAAGTAAAGCATTAACTAATAAACGCGGGTTACACACGTGAAAATGATGAGGAAAGCTCTACTAGTGCGCGGTCGTGGCTATAGCCTACTGTCGTAGCGCAGGCTGCGCGACATCGCCGCGACCGCGCACGCTGTTCATGAGGTTTTCTCATTATATTCACGTGTGTAACCCGCGATTTTGGTTAATTTAGTATGTCCCACTATAGGTATTATAAGAAGTAAGGCATTTATTTTTTGTTTTCTGAAAAGAAAATCAAATTGGTCAGAAAATGTTTAATGAAATAGGCAGTAGTTTTTAATAAGAAATTAGTTATTTGATATGTTGACCCCCGTTTGGTTGCCCCAGGCGACAGTTCCCGCGGCGTGTCCCTGTCGGGCTCCACGGACAGCGGCGGCTGCCCGCGCGGCGACTCCTTCGACCTCTCGCACAAACACGGAGACTCGCGCTGGCCGCGACAGAATAGTGTAAGTCGTACTCCTACACTACTTCAACTAAATATACCCGGCAATGTACTTAGACTGTAATCTGGTGGTCTATGATCGGTCAAAGAGGTCTACTACGGTTATCGAATGCGAAGTTTCGTTTGATTTGCGGAACTAAATGAACGAATGAAATGAATATAAATAACATAACATCACGCCCTTTATCCCCGAAGGGGTAGGCAGAGGTGCACATTACGGCACTTAATGCCACTGTTCAATGTAACACCCACTTTTCACTATTTATGTTATGAGTCCCATGTAATAGGGGGTGAGCATATTACCGTATACCGGGCACAATTCCAGGCTCCGTGCTACCACTGAGAATTTTTAAAAAACCTAGTAGTACTTTGCCCGACCCGGGAATCGAACCCGAGACCCCTTGCCCGGCAGTCGCACTTGCGACCACTCGGCCAACGAGGCAGTCATATAAATAAATAGGTTTAAACTTGAAATTAAATATAAAAAGTTATATTAAGTAATTTTATTACTATATTCATAAAACCATGGCTTAATACACATAAGTATTAACCAAGGAAATTATGAACACGTTTTTAAAATGAAGGTTTTAGATTGAAAATCCTGAACGTGATAAGACCTCCTTTCAAAGATTTACATCTCATACTAAATTCTTATTGCATTCCTTTTTCGTTCGTAAGAAATACCATTGTGGTAGGACATCTGCGAAGTATCGGACCAAACTTTATTTTTCGTCGAATCAGAGTAGACCTACAGATCACTAACTACTGTTGTCTTACAAAAGTTGTTCTTCTTTCTCTTGTACCTACGTTTTTACAAGATTGACCTGAATGCCAGGATTTTACGTGAAGAGATCGCCATCTGCTCTCCGCGACCCGCTGTGGGCTGTAGAAGTAAAGACGATAATAATATTAATAACATTGATTTATTTATTAAAAAAGGTCCTGACAGTAGCAAATCGGTAGGTATTGTTACATCTGTGTACTGATAACACGGGAGTTGACTGCCGACTGGCCGGACTCTGCGATAACGAAGCAATTGAAATTATACATCATGTCTATTATTGTATCACAATTTGTGTTACAAGCTCAAAGCTTTAATACAGTTATAAGCTTTTTTAACATCTTACATGGTTGTGTGATCTGTTTTTTTTAAAAGCAGTACTTTTGTGAATTCCTCGACAGTATTCAACAGTTTAGTGATTAGTAAAAGTGTGTATAGTTTGAAATTATTGTTGGAAATGTCTATTTTTGTACGAAGACGCCGATTGTTTGAGGAAGTGAGTGTTTGAATGTATTACTAAAGACGTGACGGTAACTGTTTGTAAGTTATAAGAATAAAGGCGAGATTATTTAAAATCTGAAAGTGACAGATAAATTAATAAAACCTTTTTAACTATATTTGAAGCAAATTATAGCTGCATCTGTCTGTTCACTCAAAACTACTGAACGCAGTTGTATCGATTTTCACCAAAGAGTGTTTCTTGAGAAAAGTTTGTCTATGAGAACCCGCGGTCGGAAATCAACTTTGACGATTGTATATCACACAAACTCAATATAATATCTGCGCATTACAGTTATCAATGAAAGAGTGGGACATCCCGTACGACGAGCTGAAGCTGTTCGAAGTGATAGGCACGGGCCGCTTCGGTACTGTCTACCGCGGCAGTTGGCACGGAGCCGTCGCCGTCAAACTATTGCACGTGCTCAGCGACGACTGTGTACCACTGGATACTTTCAAACATGAGGTAAGTTAGACTATTGAATTGAATATGGCCTTGTCTTGTTTTATAGTTGACTAAGTTGTTTTGGTATGGAGGTGAGGAAATAATGATGGGGTTAGTATAAAGTTAGTGCTATGTCAAATAATGTGCCTGATTTTGTCCTATTGAATTCAAAGTGGCTAAAGAAAAACTTGACCGGTTAAATATTACTTCTATGTATTTTTGTCATTATGACTTCATAATTTGGCCATGGCCAAATTGTTATTAATGATTCAAAAGTATCTTATGTTAGTTAACTAAACTAACTACACCTATACATTTTCTTTATGCAATTAATCTGTGATCCAGGTGGCGACCTTCCGCAAAACTCGTCATGAGAACTTGGTCCTGTTCATGGGCGCGTGTATGAAGCCGCCGCGACTGGCCATCGTGACGTCACTGTGTAAGGGCATGACTCTGTACACCCACATCCACCTCCGCAAGGACAAGTTCACCGCCAACAAGAGCGTACTCGTCGCACAGCAGATATCACAGGTACTAGGATTATACCACTTTTTTCCACAACTCTTAGTGCATTGTGTGTGCAATTTCATAGTCTAAACCCGGTATTATTGATGGTTCATTTAATGCATGGTCAAAAACATGTAACGTTAATTTTAAAAGTGACAACTCCTGCCCATGTTTTAATTTAGTAAAACAATTTAGTTAAACATAGTTTGACAACAAAGTCCATTGTTTCTTCCAAAATGAAGAAAATCATTTCTAAATTCCCTCTTTACGTTTCAGGGTATGGGCTACCTACACGCGCGTGGCATCATCCACAAAGACCTGAAGACGAAGAATATATTCTTAGAAAACGGCAAAGTAGTGATCACAGACTTTGGTCTCTTCAGCGTTACCAAACTGTGTTTTGGAAACAAGTTAGTACAAAGGTCATTAGAGAACAAATTGCACTATTATCTTAACTAAAACTAACAGGAGTAATTGCACGCTAGCTCACATTTTAATCTGAATAACGCTTGTCAAGTACAGAGGTTCATTTTACACTCCATTGTCATCTTTTTGCTCTTATCACCAAGTTACTTGTGGTCGCCTCCTCACATATCAGGCTCCGATCAAGAATATCAATATTTGTGAACCACTCATTGTTGTAAGCGGTCACTACGACCTAAATATGCCAGAAGTATCACAAGTTGGAAGACAAGAATATTTCCGAACATGTAGGAAGCTTTCAACATTTATGTAGTTGTTGGTTATAGCAGTGATTCTGTTGTGTACATTATACAATCCATGTATTGACGGTGTTTCTCCTTTACAGTCTCCGCGGCGACAGCCTGGGTATCCCGGCGGGATGGCTGTGTTACCTGGCGCCGGAGTTGTGTCGCGCGCTCACTCCGCACGCCTCACTACATCTGCCCTTCTCCAAGGCCACGGACGTATACGCGTTTGGGTAACTAATCATACAATATTTTATTAGAAATAATAGTTACTTCATTCTCCAGATTACCTTCTATAATCGTTTGAGGTGAATGGAAGGTGTTAAATTATTAAGTAACGAAACGATAATTTGTTGTTGTAGTCCCACTGAATAGATTTTTCGTATCTTTCCAGCACTGTGTGGTACGAGTTGTTATGCGGAGAGTATCCGTTCAAGAGTCAGCCGCCGGAGGCAGTCATCTGGCAGGTCGGGAAAGGCGTCAAGCAATCGTTAGCCAATATGCAAGCTTCTAGAGATATTAAGGTAGGATACACACTTTAATGTAATATAGGACCTCTTTTTGACATTGTAAGTCCTGATATTATCATAATATATTATAAGAATGTACTAATTTTGCTGGATTTTCGCAGGACATACTAATGCTATGCTGGTCGTACCGGTCCTCTGAGCGGCCCGACTTCCCCCACCTGCTGACGACGCTGCAGAAGCTGCCCCGCAAGCGCCTGGCGCGGTCGCCGTCGCACCCGGTGCACCTGTCGCGCTCGGCCGACTCCGTCTTCTGAGGCCGGCTGCGGGCGGCCCTAGCACTGACGTCGGAGCGGGCTATGGCCAGTGTGGTACCGCTGTTTATTATCTAGTTTAGGAAATATACTCCATATTATTGTAAGTTTCGTGTAATAGGTACAGATAAATCGACAAAATTCAATTTTAAACTAATGGATTATCATGCGAAAATTGCCCTGAGTTTCCAGCGATTGGAACAAATACTATGATAAATGCTATGGGACAAAAAAAATATATATATCTTATTAACCTATTTTGACGAATGTAAAGTGCAATAAGGACAACGCAACCACACTAGCCAGCCGACCACTAAAGTATTCGCTCACTGAATCTCGTATATCGACGAAATAAATATAACTATTTAAAACTATATTTATATTTTGAATTGTCAAAAATATTACTTTGTTTTCAACTAGTTGGGAGAACAGTTTTTGTGTTTGAATCAGGTTAAATTATTTATTTTCATGTTCATTTTAATCACGGGGTTTTTTAATAGAAAGACGTAGTTAGTGGATTTACAATATAGGATCTGGAATCAATCAAGTTAGTGTTACGCCATTCAATATTTGCGGGATAAATGTACAAATAACTCGAATACTACAGTCGATTATGGGCTCCATTCTATATTTGCAGTCATTGTCCAATGGATCTTACAGAAGTTGTCCTCTCGACTAGTTAATTCAGAAAGTTATATTTCAGTATAACACAACAAACGGGTTTTCGATACTTAGTATAAAAACATTTATAAATGAAATGTAAAATATGTTAATAACGTCTATTGTAAGTATATCTTGATCTCTGAATAATCAATAGAATAAATTATATTTTCGTAATTAAAATAATAATTAAATCATGGAAAAAATGAAAAAAAAAAATGTGAAAAATGACTGCTTTGTTGATAGATTGTATATATATGTACAGTGTTACGATTTTGCTGTGATCGACGAATCGACTGTTCTTAAGCGACAAAGGCCATCTTTCGAGTCAGAAAATCAATTTATCTGTGACGTTTCAACCGCTCCTTGTGGCGTAAATGTAGTTCAACTAACAGAAACTATTTTTTTCTCTAGAAGAAAATTTAAATGGTTTTTGTTTCTTAGGACAATCGAGATGAATGCACTGATCTTTTGTACATACATTGTATATTCACCACGAGAAAGCCTTAATCATCAATTTATTATTACTTGGTATGTTAAGAAATATTGTCAACTTTAACTAATATTTATAAGGTTTAACCTAAATTCAAAAGTAGTAAAAAGATTTTTCTAGATTTCAAATTATTGCCTAATGTCTTATAGCAAAAAATTAGAGAAACGAAGGTCAGTGTATTCAACAAGAATCTTTTTAAACTAGGCTAAGAGTTGACATATTTCATACCTACTACTACATTATTTTTACAGGTTTTCTTAATTAAACGTATTATAATAGTCCCCTTGAAACACGTCACGAATTTATTTGATATTACATAGTGTAACGACAGTTTCTTTTAATGTTAAACGCTAAATTATAACAGTAGTTATTGAGAATATTGGAGTGCAAACAGTTCGTCTAGCATTGCTTGGAACTAGTCGAGTGCCTCGTCAAACAGTTACGTAAGCCGAAAATATAATAATGAATTTAGTATGCCTCACAAAAGTTATAGGATTTGACTGTATTATTTAATTCAAAGTATTTTACAATGTGGTCCCTCAATATTCTCCATAACTATTGATAACGAAATATGTTTTGTAAATAAAAGAATTATAACATTCCTTTTTGTAGGTTGTTGAAGTTTAAAACTTGATAGTTACTATTCAAGCTGTAGTAAATCAGTTTGTATCTTTTTAAAAGTTACCACTTTCTTATATCGTTGCTAAGAGGCTTATCGTTAGTCTAGGCTGAAATACAGGCGATGTTTATGCTTTTAGACGGGTCTAGATGTGACTGGGTGTAGAAGAAAACCTTCCTCACTTTATCCAAAGTTACTTGAGGTTGCCGCTAAGTCATTTTCTCCCATTTCTATGAATTTCGATCCATTCAGTGCAAAATGTTGGATATTTATTGCCAGTTGCTCTAATCTCAGTGATTACAAGTAAGTTCCATCATTAGTCACATTTAAACCCGTTACAAAAGCTCATCAAGTCATCAATTAGCAAAAATTTATCATTTAAAATGAAAAAAAAAAACGTAACAGCTCATTATTATTCTATTGTTTACTAAATTATTGTTATAAAGGAAAATTGTTCTGGTCAGTCGACTCCTATTACGATAGTTTGTAAAGTAATGCGCTGACGTCACGCAGTGTACATAGAAAAGCGCGGGACGTCCGCTATCTTGTAACATATATTTATTAGAAGAGAACAACGGTTGGAAAGCAGATGGATGTAGTTATACATAATGTATTGAGATTTGAAACGATTAGGTTAGTTGCATTTGCCAAAATAAATTTCCGAATCACTGTTTTTGGTTGTTTTATTGAATTCTATTTATAATGAAACTTACATGTCGAAAGAAAGAGGATAGATTATATTATGTACTACTATACATTTCACTAACAACTGGCTCTGGCTACAATAATTATGTTCTTTACAAGAAAGCTGATTTATGATACTTGCAAAGATATTAATTTTGTGTAGTAGTGATTGTATAGTTATGTGGTTACAGTACCTTGTGTTATTTGACTGTAATTGGACATGATTGGATAAAACTACAAAATCTGCCACAAAAACATTTTTTAGCTTTTCGTTTTCTTGACTTTAATGCAATTTGTTTTCTTAATTATTTTTATTTGTGACTTATTACTAAATGAAGCAATTTTAGTAAGCTCTGTAGTCAGTTTTCAACAGTGCAGCTGGGATTTTCAAGGAGAAAATTGTGTATTGATACATAATATTTTTATAAATACTTATTTATAATAACAATAAGTTAATAGGTAAGTATTTATAAATTTTATTCATAAAAAATAGGTATTTATAAATACATAATTTTCCCGTGGTGGTTATGGGTGCTTCAAAGAGTATAATAAGTATAGGGGGTGCTTGTCTAATATATTGATTGAATATAGCAGTCCCATTATCTTATAATAAATTATAATTTATTATTTTAGTCAAATGCCTGGTAGGTACATCATAATTAAATGAAAGTAGTAGTGAAAAGTAATCTTATCAATAATTTATTCCTTTCGAGACAAAGGTAAAGGTATAATTATGTCAAATGTATGTACAGTACATTTACTATAGTTTATCTTATTTTAGCATTTTAATTCTAATAAAGTTAATCAATTAAAAAAATTATCTGTGAAGTACTACAGTCCAAAGTAAGTTAGAATGAATAGTATGTAAATTAACTCGTGGAGTACCGTCATTATAGACACAATTAAAGAACAATAGGTTGCGGTCACCAGTGACTGCTCGGTGTTTGACAGTTTCAACAAGATATAATTAACAATAACTCTAATGAATTATTCAACACTACAACTGCACGTCACTTTAGTGTCTATGGTTGTAGAAGTCCAATTATTTCTTTTTCTTTTCAGTGGTGTTGCAATGTTATGAAATATGTCCAGCCAGTATCCCAGCAATGTTAGTGCACATACTTTTGATCTCTTCATTACTCAGGTACTCAGACCCCAAGATTGCATTCCCTAAAGCTATAGTTTCTCTTAATGTGTTAGCCTTTATCCAAATTCGGCCATTCATGCCCGCTGCAAGTTCAAATGGCCATTGATTCTTTAACGAGTTGATTAAGGGGCAATCTGGGTTTAAAATCTTTCTGATTAAGTTCAAAGAGCATTTGAAAACGAAACCATCTTCCAGCACTCCTAAGCGTCCCTTCTTCCCGTGAGAATCGACACAAACTATTTCTGGTTCCATGTCTTTGCTGGCTACTAACATTTTAGCGTATACTACATCTCCAATCACCACTTTAGGTCTGTTTTTTTTCGTAGCGCCTTCGAACGATAGATAAGATAACGATGCTGTACAACTCCCGCCGACGTCGACTCTGAATATATCTCCCGCCTTTTGCACAACTATCCCTATAACATTTTCTCCGCGAGATGGAATATATCGCTTCTGATAGCTATCCACCCAGTATGTGTTAGGAGCTCGTTTCCTCAATGTGCCAGCTTTGGAAACATAAATGCCGTCAACTTCTTTCTTTAAGCCTGGTCCGAGTATAATTTTAGTTTTGTCGCCAGCAGTTACGATTTCTTCACAGAAATCTCCAGGTAGAACAACGTCACCAACCTTAACCTTCATAGCTGTGTTGAGTTATTTAAATAAACGTAAAATATCACATCAAATTGGTGCTTTCTAAAATAAAATAACCAAGTAACCAACACTATTTCTAACCTCAAAATTTGTTTTGACTTACGACAATTGACAAATGACAATCCATCCATAGAATAGACTACCGTATTTATTTTGTGAATGTGTCGTTTTGTTTTCAAGTGCAGTTTGATTTAACAATTACATATTGTAGGTATGTAACAAAGTAATTTCAATAATAAAATAAATCTAACGTTCTGTAGCCCTTAAAGTTGTTAACATTAACTATCTAAGGCCTAATTCTTATATTATTACTTTTAAGTGACTATATTCACTTAATTTGATTTAGTGTATGACAACGTTTTTTCCTTCCCAGGGGTAAACAGGGTTCGCAGTTAAAAATATTTATTTTTTAATCTAATGATTAGTTTCAGCAAACAGACAATAAAACGCAAATAGTTCCAATCCACAAACAAACGTAGAATTTTGACATTGACACACGTCCAACGAATTTGACAGCTGTGACTGTGAAGCAGTTCAGCAGCACGTGTTTTTTATTTGATTGAATGTTTACATGTTGAGTTTATCTAAAAATTAATTTAAAATGCCTGCAACAGTGCATAATGACTTGTTAGTGTATAAAGGCAGTAATTTTTTTCGTCAGAGACTGTTGTTAGCTACTCTGAGTGGTCGTACAATTAAAATAGAAGACATTCGCAGTACACATGATGACCCGGGTCTTCGAGAGTACGAAGTGAGTCTGATACGATTGTTGGACAAAGTGACGAATGGAACGAGGGTAGAACTCAGTGAGACGGGTACTTCAGTGTACTACCAGCCTGGTATACTGGTTGGAGGATATGTGACACACAACTGTAGCACGCAGAGAGGAATGGGTTAGTATCTGACGAGTTTCACTTAATTCATAGCTCTTACTCATCTCTTTGCCAATAATTCTGATTATAATGATATCAAAACTTTATTATTGCTCACTTTTTTCATCCCACATACCTAAATTAACATGAATTTATTCCAACAACACAACTTTTCAAATGGTATTTTTTTACTTTTGTCTTAACCTGCTTTATTATTATACAGGATACTACCTAGAAGTTCTCCTAGCACTGGGTCCATTCTGCAAGGAGCCATTGAATGTAGTCCTGCAGGGAGTCACACACAGTGACTTGGATGTCTCTGTGGATAAGATCAAGACGGCGGCCCTGCCAGTACTGCTGAAGTTTATATTGGTTGATGATGGACTGGAGCTTAAAGTTGTGAGAAGAGGTGAGTCTACATTTAAACATGTTTAAAACTATTTTGTTGTAAATGCCTGTGGTGTATGAAATCGTTAATAGTTTTCATCACTACGAAAGTTTTTATTTAATTTGTGTTAATTATTTAATTGGAATCTAATTGAACCGTATTCATCTACCAGGAGCGCCTCCTCTCGGTGGTGGAGAGGTAGTATTCAAATGCCCTGTGCGGAGATCGTTGCGACCTCTGCAGTGGACACAGTGGGGACTTGTGAAGAGGATACGAGGAGTAGTGTATGCGCTGCGAGTGTCACCAACCATGGCCAACAGGGTGGTGGAGGCTGCTAAAGGGGTACGATCTTTAACATAATGACTAAAAATTGTGTTAATTACTACTAGTTGTGTCTGATTAAAGTAGATAGTGATTTTTAGCCGGCCTCAGCAGTATTTAGATTGTCACATTTAGATGTTGTGGTTATAAGTAAAAAAGGTTTTTTATGAAATAAGCCGTTAAACAATCAGACAGATCACCTGATGGTAAGTTACAAGTGCATTACCAGATTAGAAATTTGAGGATTATTGGGGATTCAAGGATTCGAGGATTCAGGAGGGAGTAATTCGGCCTCCAGTAACTTCATTCCCAAGACTTTATTTTTATTTTATTTATTTAATGCTAACAACTACCTATTGCAGACTAATCCAATACGATAGTGTAAGACGAAATTGTTGTTGTGTCGTTTCACGTCGGTTTTCTGCTCGGCCGTGGTGTATCGCAATCTACAATCTACTTCGAAGCACACACTTTTACAATTATAATAAAACAAGAAAGCTAAAATGATTGTATTTTATATTTCCAGGTGATGCTGAAGTTCCTCCCAGACGTTTACATCAACACTGATCAATGTCGCGGCTCCAACGCTGGCAAGAGTCCTGGGTTTGGTATCAGTCTTGTTGCTGAGACTAATGAAAAGACATTCTACTGTGCTGAGGCTGTAAGTATTCATACCTTATCTATTAATTATTGGCGACCTCTCGCGTACGGCCTTAGTACGGGTTATGATGCGGAGCGAGGGGGACTGGGATGCCGTCTCCTCCTTTTGCGAAACAGTCATGCTACCTAAGGAGGAGGCGGGACGCGTGAGGCAGCGAAGCGCTGCCTCCTCGCAACCCAGCCATCGCATAGGACACACCGGGCGTCGGGGATCGCGGGACGATCTCCGGCCACCGTAAGCGCGGGCCTGCGGACGGTGAGCATGGGTGGCTCCCCGTCCGACCAGAAACAGACCCGAAAGTACGGTCCGTTGCGTTCCACGCGCGCCTCAAAGAGCCATCAGACCACCACGGATGGGGCCCAATAGGGCTGATGCCGATTCGGAGTCGCGGAGAACCTAATGGGTAACTGGGGCTCCGGCTCGAAGTGCAGGAGAAGGAACGGGGTGGTTTTTAGTTAATAAGAGTCTGACACTCCCTTCCGTCTCACCTAGGTAGGAGAAGCCATTCGATGATTTTCCACCTTAAAAAATCCATTAATTATATTTCTATGATGGAACTTTTTAGTTACTTCAATAAAAATATTTCTGCATATTATGATATGCCTGCCTGCAATAGCATGATTGGCAATTATGCTTTCGAACCGTTTGGGGTTAAAACTTTAGGGCCCAAGTGCACATCTTCTTTACAAAGATATTGTAAGGACTTAAGGAGGATGGTTGACACTTGAGGTGAACGAAGGGCTGGCTACTGCCTTGGGCAAAGGTTAAACATTGCCATTCAACGTGGCAATCCGCCAGTCTTTTGGGCACAGGATAATGATGACGAAATTTTTTTTATGCCTTAAGCTAATATTTTTATTATTATTCTTTTAAGGTGTAAATATTTTAGTTTTTTGTATTTATAATATTAATATTACTTAGTACCTACCAGTATGAGTCGACATTTAATATATTGTGTATATTTCTGTTTATAAAGATTCAAATGAAAAGTTTTCAATGAGACGGTTCATCATTCTCTTATTTACAAATCTAGGAAATAATTTAATAAAATCTTTTTAACATTATGCCTTATTACCCGACTGTCCATTTAGAGAGAGAACTAAACCAATATTATAAGTCCACGTCCTATATCAATAGTCTACTTCAAGACTGGTCATTAAAATTTCCTAAACATATAGAAAAAATATTTTGTTCCCCAGAAATCAACAGACGTAGGTACAGGCGACATCACGCTCCCGGAGGAGCTCGGCCGCGCATGCGCGCATCGGTTGCTGGACGAGGTGTACCGCGCCGGCGCCGTCGACTCCTCCTTCCAGTGGCTGCTCGCTCTCTGGATGGCGCTCGGACAGAAGGATGTCAGCGAATGTATTGTAAGTTATTATTTTTAAACAATATTCTTCTTGTATTTATACATATGATGTCGCCTTTTATTCCTCGAAGGGTTATGAAAAAATACACATGTTAAATGTAACACCTACCGTTTTCCAGTTATAAGTTCCCTGTAATTTAATAACAGGGGAAAATGTGTTGTTAGAGGTAAACACCTGGCAACACAGTTACAGTCAAGTTACTACTGAAAAAAATCTCCTGTAAAACGACTCTTGGGCAGTTAGGTTTGATTTTCGAATGAAGCAATATTGAGATTTTCGTTTTTAATAAATTCTCTCGAGTACCTACTATAGATATAAAATTTTAAGTGTGGGAGAGCCGTGCTTCGGCACCAATGGGCCGGCTCGACCAGAGCGATACCACGGCCGATCAGAAAACCGACATGAAACAACGTTTGCGTTGTGTTTCGTCGTGTAAATGAGGGTATCGGAGGCCCAATTATCCTCCGCCCCTCCTCAATCTCCCCAATAATCCTTAAATTCCTAATCCCTAAAAGGCCGGTAACGCACTTGCATACCTTTGGTGTGCCAGGTGTCCAAGAGTGACGCCGATGGCTTACCATCAGGTGATCCGTCAGCTTGTTTACCGGCTTATGCTATATAAAAAATAGCTAAATTACATATAAATATTGATTTCCAGGTGGGTCCACTCTCAGACTACACGATAACATTCCTGCAACACCTCAAAGAGTTCTTCGGTGTGATGTTCAAGTTGGAGGTGCAGCGGTCCGACTCTGATGATGAAGATTCCGATGATGAGGGCGTCACACCCGCCAGCAAGATCAAGATGACATGCGTCGGTATAGGATACGTTAATATTAGCAAACGGACATTGTAATTATTGTAAATAAATCTAGTTTTAAGTATTCCAAGTTTTTTTTTCATATATTTAATAATAATAATAAAAAAAGTCGCACCCGAATCAGACCACGTAAAGGAAGCTCTACTCATTGGGCCAAGGTATTAAACCAGTAGGTACGTTAGGCCAATGTGTAGAGGCCTACTTGGCGGTAAGCCGTCGGTTGGCCAACGCTGGCTGTTTACAATGGCGTGGACTAACACTTAGCTTTTACATTTTATTGTAACGTATGTACAGAAAGGACATTTACAATTCCCTACATTGGCTCAAACCGTTGGGCCAATGTGTAGAGCAGTCTTAACACCGGTGATGTTTTGCTTAACCGCTTAAATGTACCGATATGAGACATAATATTGTGTACATTGTGTCTTGCGTGGATCCACGTCTTAGACACATGACGGAATAAATACTAATGATTTTGTTTTTTTTCATTACCAACTTAGAGTATGTCACTTCTACAAAAATTGCTAAGGCAAAGGGTAGGAGCTAGTGAAAAAATATTTCAATAGTATTCACAGTCCACAAATTTTATACGTTATATTTGATCCGAGGTAAGTACTAGGACTACACAACATAACTAATGAAATTGCCGTTTTAGATGAAAAAAATTACAACGAATTTATTTCATGTATTTTTTA